AGACATGGCTGGTTTACTAGAGGATGAGAGACAGATGACACGGTCGTCCCTATCACTCCTGCTGTCAGCGGGCCTGCCACCAGACATGTGAGCGAATCCACTCAGGACCAGCTAGACCCCTGCATACCACCTAATCACAAATCAGCATCAGGGCCTGGCCCAGACTGGTAGTCCTTCCCAGCACAATCATGAACAAAATAAGTGGTTATTGTTTTAAGCCACTAAGTTTTGGGGTAGTTTATTATGCAGCAATAGATAAACGACACACCCTCTGATTCATTCAGTAATTACAAAGGTAATTCCAAACCCTAGCAACATTCAATGATCACCCCCCACTACCACTCTTAGCACCTGCTTTTACCTCCGTTTCCAATACAAACATACTTTTCTCCCCCACCTGCCCTAATGTTACACTATAGCATAGTGATAAAGAGTACTTGTGGTTTCAGAACTAGGACCATCCATCTTTCTGCCTCCTCAACATTTTGGTAATACCCAAAATGCCCATTTCTTGGGTTCTCTTCTATTAATTTTAAGAGAATTCTTAGAGAATTCTTAAGAGAATTCATTCGAATTCTTTGCCTATTTAAAAATTTCACCACTAGCCCTGGATGGTGTGGCTCAGTGGATTGAGTGCCCGCCTGCAAGCCAAGGGGTCGCTGGTTTGATTCCCAGTCAGGGCACGTGCTTGGTTTGCGGGCCAGGTCCCTGGTTGGGGACGTGTGAGAGACAACTGCATATTGATGTTTCTCTCCTTCTCTTTCTCCCTCCCTTCCCCTCACTCTAAAAATAAATTAAAACAAATTCCACCAGTCATTGCTTTTATTTGTTTTCAACTTTTATACATAAAGGATAAGAGAACCAATGATGCTCTTGTTATTTAATTTTTAAAAAATGTTTAGTCCTTACTCAAGGATATATTTATTTTTTTAAAGATTTTATTTATTCATTTTTAGAGAGAGGGGAAGGAAGGGAGAAAGATAGAGAGAAACATCAATGTGTGGTTGCCTCTCACATGGCCTCCACTGGGGAGCTGGCTGGCAACCCAGGCCTGTGCCCTGACTGGGAATCGAACTGGCGAGCCTTTGGTTCGCAGCCCTCGCTCAATCCACTGAGCTACACCAGCCAGGAGGGTATATTTATTGATTTTAGAGAGAGGAACATGGATCGTTTGCCTCCCACACACACCCAACACAACCTGGGTACGTGCTCTGACTGGAGATTGAAACGGAAACCCCTTGGTGAACAAGACAACGCTCCAAGCAACAGAGGCACCGGGCCAGGGTCTGATTTCAATTTCTTAAAAAACACATAGGTGTGCATCAGTTTCCTAGGGTTGTCATAGCAACAGAAATTTATTCTTTTACAGCTGTGGAGGCCCGAAGTCTGAACTGAAGGTTCTGAGGAAACCTGCTCCATGCCCCTCTCCTGAGTCCTGCTGGCTGTAGGCAACCCTGGTGTTCCTTGGCTTCCAGACACACTCCCCGATCTCTGACTTCATCTTCATGTGCGCCTCTGGTGTCTTCTCCTTTCCTGTCACTTTTAGGGACACCTGTCATTAGGCTTAGGGCTCACCTCAATCTGTGATGGTCTCCTCCTGGGATCCTTTTCTTAATTTCAAATGCAAAGACCTTTTTTCCACATTCACAGATACCAAGAGTGAAGGCATGGGCATATCTTTGGGAAACACAATTCGACCCACTACATAACATACTGAAACCTTTTAGAAAATAAGAATGTCAATTTAAATATTATTACCAGGGCAACAAATTAAGTAAGGCAACGTATCAGAATTATGGACTTTTTAGATGTTAAGTTTATTTTCATAGACTGCAGCAACAATCTCTAAAGTCAGGGTGCCCCTTAATTAAAATTAACAGTTACAAGGAAAGTTTTATAACATAAACTATTATGTTTTTCTTACTTTTAGAAGACTAAATAATTCCCCTTATCTTGATGAGATTTCTTTTACCATAATTATGAGGATCTGTGGTTTTCAAGGCCAAGTTCTCGAAAGCCATTAGTTAGCAGCAACAGGAAAAAAACAGGTCTGAGAGCTCAAAACTTACCATATGAAGAAGAAAAAGAGAGCAAAATAGGCTACTTAATAAATGCAATGTGGGCCCTGGCTGGTGTAGTTCAGTGGATTGAGTGCAGGCCTGCGAACCAGAGGATCACAGTTCGATTCCCAGTCAGAGCACATGCCTGGGTTTCAGACCAGTTCCCAGCAGGGGATGCACAAAAGGCAACCAATCATACATTGATATTTCTCTCCCCCTCTCCTTCCCTTCCCCTCTAAAGATAAGTAAATAAAATCCTTTTAAAAATAAATAAATAAATGCAACGTGGAGCATGTAATGCCGTGCACCTACGCTTCCTAACCACAGGTCCTAAATGTCTATAAAGATTTGCATTTTGAATCATTGTCCAATGTTTCTAGAAGTATCAAAAACTTGACATCAGCTAGGTACAGTATAGATGTGTGGACAATGCATGAAGGAAGCCACGGGGGTGCTACGGGCCAGGTAAAACTGAGTAACTCTTCCCTTGTCTCTGTTGTGGACCATGGGGACCACCATCTGCTCCCTGAACGTCCACAGCCCCAAGCAGGGTATCTCAGGTCCAGGGACAAGAGCAAGACTGTTTTCCTGTCTGTGTGGTATGGCTACAGCAACAGGCAGGGGACCAGGGAGAGGTTTCCAGTGAAATGTCCACGTCTCCCCCTCACTAGAGTTCGTGTAAGTGTGGCAGGAATACTGGCCTGTGGGTCAGATTTGGCATTTGGGTTGTTGGAGCATCCCTGGGATAAAGGATACACTCTGAGAGAGTCAGGAGTAGAATTGCTGATAGGGCCATCTGAGAGCTGAGAGAAAAGGTAGAGAAACCCAAAAGTGCCTCCTGGCCCAAAGAGTAAGAGAAAGTGGAGCCAGGAAAAGGGAGCCAGAAAGAAATTAGGTTAGAATAGAAATGAGTCAGAACAAGCAGAAGACACCTTGGGCAATTTTGTGATGCCCATAACAACACGAAAGTTGCCTGAGCTTAGCTTATTGGCTTACTGATGGGATGCGTGAGTATTGGGATGGTCTGAAGGTCACAAATTCTACTGACCAAGGTAGAAGGTCAGTAATTGAAAGCCATGAGGAGGGAGAGAACATTCTTTAGCTGGGTGATACAAACTTCATATAAAGTGAAGGTTTTACACAAGCAAGAGTAATCGTCAGTGGCACAGTGGAATCAGTATGACCAGTCTAGTTCTCAGTCCTAATGAGGAGGGGCGGGCATAGAAAAATGATTACCCGCCACTGAAAGGGCAGTAAGTGGTTGTGGGATCCTGGAGGCAGAGCTATTAAAGGAGGCGATGACGAGGTAGGGAGAAGACCAGCTGGCAGACCCGCATCATCTGAGTGAGAAACAATGATGGCCCTGGCAGTGAAAATACAAAAAAAAAAAATGTGCTAAAGATACAAATGAGATAGGTTGCTTTGGTAACTGATCAAGTGAAGAATAAAGGATGACTTTCAGGATTCTGTTTTGGGCAGATGGGTGTATGAATGTGCTCTTTACTAAAACAGGAGGAGGAGTGGGTTTGGAAGCAAAGATAATGATGTATTCCCAGACACTAAACAGTTCTTGAAACAAAAAAGGCTCTCCAAAAATATTTGCTAAAATAATAAATGACAAAGAACAAAGCTTGACATACAAGTTTGATGAGGTAAATTCATAAGCCATTGTAAGAAACAGCACAAAGTCATTGCTGTTCTGGTTAAATTTATCAAGTTATTATTTGAATTAAAATAGAAAAATAGGCAAGCAAAAAATAACAGCTCTATCTCACACCCACTGAGATGGGTATTTAAAAAAAAAGATAGCAAGGGTAAAGAAAAATAGAAAATATAGAGGATGTAGAGAAATTGGGACCCTTATGCACTATTGGTGAAAATGTAAAACAATGCAGCCACTGTGGAAAACGTTATGGTCATTTCTCAAAAATTTCAAAATAGAGCCCTGGCCAAGTAGCTCAGTTGGTTAAAGCATCATCCTGATATTCCAAGGTTGTGGATTTCATTTCTTGATTAGAGCACACATAAGAATCAACCAATGGATGCATCAATAACTGGAACAAATCAATGTTTCTCTCTCCCTAAAATCAATACATTTTTTAAAAATTTAATGTAAGAATAGAATTACCACATCACCCAACCATTCCACTTCTGGTACACACCCAAAAGGATTGAAAGCAAGGGACTCAAAACAAACTTTTGAAGACCTGTGTCCATAGCAGCATTACTCAGAATGGCCAGAAGGTGGAAGCAACCCGTGTCCATCGATGATGAATAAGCAAAATGTGATTTTATATACATGCATATAAAATATTTTCATCCTTAAAAAGAAATTGCTATGTGCATGGATCAATCTTCAGGGCACTATGCTAAATGAAATAAGCCAGTCACGAAGTGACAAATACAATTTGTAGAAGGCCACTTACACGAGATTCCTGTCTCTAATAGAGACAAAAAGTAGTATGGTGATTGCCATGAACTGGCAGGAGGGTAGAATACCTTATTCTAATGTTTAATTAGAATAGCTAATGTTTAATGAGTACAGAGTTTCAGTTTTGCAAGATGAGTTCCGAGGATGTATGGTGGTGATGGTTGCTGAACACTGTGAATGCACTTAATACTTGACTGTACATTTAAAAATGATTAAAGTGATGTATTTTACCACAATTTTTAAAAATCTAAATTAAAAAAAAAAACTATCAACATCAATCAAAACCAATAGGGAAAGGAGAGATCCAGCCGCACAGCAAAACCCAACTAGTCCACCCGGCTGTGAGAACAGAAAGCCAAGGGCGTGGCGAGGGGGCAAGCCTCCGCCTCCCTGTGGATCTGGCTGCTGGGAAACAGCTGAGGGAGCACGTCCACCAAGGACTCGGTAGCCACTGCGCAGGCGCATAAGCAGGCCGCCAAGAGGCCAGTTAAACATACCCGGAACTGACGTCCGTGACTTAGACAGGTTCGGGGAGGGTCTGACCTACTCGTTGGGGTAAACAGTGCTGGGGGCTGTGGTCTGGCGGTCGCTATGAGCTGCACCATCGAGAAAATCCTAACAGATGCTAAGACGCTGCTGGAGAGGCTGCGGGAGCACGATGCGGCCGCCGAGTCGCTGGTGGATCAGTCCGCGGCGCTGCACCGGCGGGTGGCAGCTATGCGGGAGGCGGGGACAGCGCTTCCGGAACAGGTCAGGCTGAGGGCAGGGGGTCGGTGCCTTGACGTTCTGTGTACTTGGCGGGTGGGCGGCGAAGTCAAGTGGGACCTCGGCCTGGAAATTATTCCTGGTCTCAGGGTGCGGCGGTGAGACCTTTCTGCCCTGGAGCCCTGACTCCTGCTTCTTCAAGTGGCGTCCGCGGCTGCTTTGTTTACGGAGCACTTAGTCTGTCTCTGTTCGTCTAGTATCAAGAGGATGCATCGGATATAAAGGACATGTCCAAATACAAACCTCACATTCTGCTGTCCCAAGAGAATACACAGATTAGAGACTTACAGCAGGAAAACAGAGGTTAGTCAGGCCTTTTGTGTAGTTTTTATGTTTTTTCTCATACCCAGTAATATTTCACTTTCTTGCAAAACTGCCCAACTGTTCACTAAAGTGCGTATGCTGTATGTATTTCCAGGTCAGCATTTTTAGTAATAGAGTTATCCTGTGCTGGCCCAGTAAACTAAAGTTTGTTACATTACCCTTTTCGAAATAGTCTCGTAGATGTTGTATTTATAGGCATCTTGTTGAAGGGGTGCTTAGTCGAGTTGAATTGTTGCCTGGTGTATTTGGGTATCCCCCAGATGGAGGCTTGCGTAACAAGAGTTAATATCCTCAAGGGATTAAAATTTAAAGTTTAAATATTCAAATTTTCTAAAGTTAAGATGGAAATGGAAGGGCTGAAGTTTATACTTAGGATATATAGTCTTAGGTTTGGTAAGTACATTATTAACAATAACAGTATGAACAGTTACTTGTATACCAGTTTACAGAGGGCTTGCACATACAGGGGTCTGGCACAAATAACGCCCCTATTGTAATACAAAATCATAGGCATGTAATTCTGAAATATAATAATATCACACTCAAGCACACCATTTGACATTTTAGATGAAATGTTTAAATTAAAACTATAAATTATTACACCCATATTATTACCCTACCTACCACACTCAGGCAGGCATGACCTCTGCCGGACCCTGTGTATTGTTCCATTGTATTGTGTTTTCACATTAAGATAGATGAGCCAGGTATTGGTTATTACAGTGCAGATAGGAAATAGACACAGAGAATTTAAATGATTTGCTTAAGAGTATTAAGCTAGCAACTTGCGAAACTGAACTCAAACCCATGCCTTCTGTTTACAAATCCCACATTTCTACCAAACTTGCTGCCTCTGTCTAGAAGGTTGTTTCACATTGACCATACCTGTTGTGTTTTGTGACCTTAAACACTGATTTACAAATTTTGAATCACAATATTTCATGGAGTGTCATAAAATTCCAACTATGAGAAGTTTGGCTTTGAGAGCTGTCTCTCAGACATCACTGCCAAGTTATTTTATTTCTTGATAGAGCTATGGATTTCCTTGGAGGAACACCAGGATGCTTTGGAACTCATCATGAGCAAATACCGGAAACAGATGTTACAATTAATGGTTGCTAAAAAAGCAGTGGACGCTGAACCAGTCCTGAAAGCTCACCAATCTCACTCTGCAGTAAGAAATTTTGATGAATAGATTCTAAATGAACTGAATTGAAATCTTGACATTGTTTTAGCTTGTGTGCCGGTATTTTTGAAGAAAAGTGAATTTGTTTTCCTTTCATGTTTTTATCATATCCGCTGTTGGTTTTGCTGTAGCTTTGTAAAGATGTGAATAGAAAGAAGGGGTAAGGGGTTGTCAGGTCCTTTAAATTGAGTAGGACTAAGGTTCCTTCCTCTCTTGTCAAGATCTGTTTCCAAAATGTTATTCAGTGCTTACCTCTTCCACAAAATGTAATGCCAGTTAGTGTCAAAGGTGCTTAGTAAATAGTTGATTGGTTATTATTGGACATTTCACTACATTATATGCTCTTGGACATAAGGGGTATGAATTCATCTTTTATCTTTAACATAGTACCTGGCACATAGCAGGCAGTGAGGAAATGTTTATTACAGTGAAACACATAATATCATACTCATTAGGAGGGAGAAGTATGGTATAATACGTATATGTATATCTATATCCATATTTTTATGGCAAAGATTCTACTGTTTGATTATGATGACCAGGAATGACTCTTATACCTGAGGAGTACTTGATAGTTGTTATATTACATTCACATGTCCTGCATCATGTAATCCTGGATTAATAAGTTGGTCCCTCACTATTTGCTACAGTGGAATTTATGAAAAATTTCATCTTAAATTCCATGGAAAGCATTTTACTGACTTAACACAAAAGTCTTAAGGAACAGAAGTATTTTAAATATGTGAATGGCTTTTATCTGGAAGAGAAAAATAAACTTTATTTTCTTTAGTCTGGAGAAGAAAACTTGAACCTCGAAGGAGACAGATTTTAGTTCCTATGAAAAACTTGTTAAAAGATAATTCCAAAGGTGGAGTAAGATAGCTTGGAATGTGGTAAGGCTTCTTGCCAATAAAAATATTCAAGTCAAAGTTAATAAGTGCTTAGGGATGTTGTCCAACATCCAATGGGTGGTTAGACTAAAATCGATCTTTTGAAAACAAATTATTTGCGGATACCACAAGATAACTTTATTATGGCTTCACACCTGAGGACTGAGGTTATAGTGAAACTCTTGCATAACCTCTGTACCATAGATTTAATGAACTTTTTAACATCATAATGTGCATGTTTTCATGAACTTTGTATCTGTAGAAAAAATGACTTTTTTACCTTTTTTGTGTTAATATCTTCACAGGAAATTGAGAGTCAGATTGACAGAATCTGTGAAATGGGAGAAGTGATGAGGAAAGCAGTTCAGGTGGATGATGACCAGTTTTGTAAGGTTCAGGAAAAACTAGCCCAGTTAGAGGTAAGATTGTTGCTGTTTTAGGTTCACAGTATTTCAGGGCATGTTCAGAGTCTGGCAGGTGTGCCATTGCTCTCCTATCACTGCAGCAATGTAGCCAGCAGCAAACAATGAAAATGCCTACTACGTACTGACTGGAAATTAAGATGTCATCTTATCAAGGGGCCTGGGTGTAGAAGGGACAAATTACATGTCAGTTAAAAATCTCTTGGCGGGGAGGGGAGTATGAATGGGATAAAAGGTATTGGAAAAAATACAGTGAAAAAAAGGAACATTTGTATGACCCCATTTGGTTCTTTTGGTTAGTATTTGTTTATACTATATTCAGCAAACTGTTGTACAAAATCATGAAAAACATTCCCCTATATTGTTTTGTGTATGGATTTTGACCAATATTGTGATGTTGGCTTCTGTGTTAATATGGGTAATACTTTAATACAAGTATTCATTATTGGGGGAAAAATAAAAATAAAAAAATCTCTCCTCTGCCATAAAAGGAAGTCAACTAGATAATGCCTGAAGTTGACGGAAAGAGATAGCAGTACAGGCATATTATTTAAAATTATAGAAGTAAACACTAAAGAAATAGATAAAAGTATTAAAAGTGGTTGCTTTTGAGAAACAAAGCCAAGGGAGCTATTGTTTATTTTATAAGGCTTGTAGTTTTGATTTTATTTTTTAAAGCTATTTTCATGTACTATTTTGATTACAATGGAAATAATTCACAGAGAAAGGCCTGGAGTGTTAGTGCGCCCATAAAATTTTTAGGGAGACACGTTATTCTAGATGGTTGGAATGCTGCTTATCACCAGATGCTCTCACGGGCCTTCTGAGAAACACCAGAGAAAAAGAAAGTGAGGGTCCCCACTCAGAGACTGGGGGAAGGAATAAGACTAGCACAGCAGGTCCTCAAATGACTTCATTGCGTTCAACCTTGTTTTATTCCAACATTGGTGAGATGCCATAGGAACTTAACTCTTCTTTGTACTGTTTAGCCTGTGGTGAAGTTGGCTTCTTTATAGGTTGTTTTTGCTTAAAGTCACAGCACCTATTGATAACGTTAAGTGAGAACTTACAGTACTTATATGATATGAAATGGTATATAAATGCCAGGAGAGAGACCCAAAGTACTGGGGAAAGCACTTTATATGGTAGAAGATTTCATGACCATAGGCTCTGACTTTTGTCGAAGCCTGAACACACTATGGTTTAGCAGAATTTCCTTCAGAGAGAGTAAGGATAGAGTGCTAACTGCCCTGTTTGGAAATAAGGGGAGTGACAAGGTCCCAAGGAGGAGTTAGGAGTTATGGAAGCAGTCTTAAGGAAATGTGAGACAAATTTTACACTTTACTTTAAGTGGAAAAAACATGGGCATTGGATTAAGATCTCAACAATACCACATCCCAGTTATCTGATTTTGGACAAGTTTTTGGATTTTTGTGAGCCACAGTGTCCTCCTCTTAAAGAGATACGACGTAGGAATAGTACCTGCCCTACAGATGGTCGTGAGATAATATGTGTAGGACACCCACATGGTACCTGGTTATGTGGCCAATAAGCAGTTTCTTCTCTCTCTTTCTTTGTCCAAAACCATGGGCGTCTAGGAGAGGAACTGAGTGTAGTGAAAATATTACCAGGAATTTGAAAGATAGAAGAAATAGTAGTAAAACTTGGGGGAACTGTGAAGAGTATGACAAGCAGTGAGTTCCTCCAGTGGAGAGGAATCTTGTTCTTTCGTATGTCTTTTGTTTTTTTGTTGTTGTTGTTTTGTTTTTGTAGTCCTAACAGGTAGCATATAAAAATTGCTCATTAAATATTTGTTCAAAGAATAAATAAGTAGTAGATTAGGAAATTCTTATTTTGTTTCCTTAAAACTTTAAAAATTAAAATAATATGCTTTCTGTTCTTGGACAAAGCAATGTGTTCTGATGCAGTTTGAAAGTCAAAATGCCTGAAATAAACATATACTTTTTTTTTTTCCAGCTTGAAAACAAGGAGCTTCGAGAATTATTGTCTATCAGCAGTGAGTCGCTCCAGGTCAGAAAGGAAGACTCAATGGATACTGCTTCTCAGGCCATCAAATAACATCAGCTGCTGAGTGACAGCTAGAGGTTTTTTATTAAGGAAGGACATTATCTATTTGAGCCTGGTCCTTTCAGTGTCTTTCCTTGGACTCCATTTAGTGTTGTTGATTAAAGAAATCAGGTGACAGTTTAGAATTGGCAGTCAAAGTTGGCCGTCCACAAAACAGTTTTTTTGGGGTGTGTTAGTGAAAATACGCACTGAATTTCACCATTCCCTTCTCTACGAGACAATGTTTAATTTTCATTTCTGGGACCTTGATTTCTATAAACTGAGCTTCTAGTTCATTTTTGGTTTTTCACATCTCTGAATCTTTGAGCATCGTATTATAAGGCAGTGATTTGATTTTACATAGGATTGTAAATCACAGTTACGAAAAAAATTAAAGAGATTAGCTTCTTAAATTTATTTGGCATAAACCTGGATTATTTTCCATTTGAGAAAAACAAAATTCTACAGAACTAGATTGGCAAATTCTCTGATTTGTAATGTCATTCACCTTCTGTGAAATTGTAAGTCTCTCTGGTGCTAAGAGTTTGTACTTTGTGACCTGTGACTTTACTCTTAATTTGAGAGTGCTAGTCTCCAGGAAACACTTGAAAATAAGTCAGCTGACCCTGGCCGGTGTGGCTCAGTTGGTGGGAGCGTTGTCCCATAACCCAAATGTTGTGGGTTCAGTTCCCTGTCCAGATGCATACAGGAGGCAACCAATCAATGCTTCTCTCTTACATAGATATTTCTCTCCTTCTCTCTCTAAAAGCAATGAAAAAATGTCCTCAGGTGAAGATGAAAAAAATAGAAGCTGTTTTTTTTTTCCAGTAGTAGGGTAGTCGTATGTTCAAAGAATGCTGAGAAATTTGTCCTGGGGTATGTGGACATGCACATGCACACTTAGTTCAAATGCTAAAAGCTTTTATTTGTTCTCTTAGATATTCGTAGTCAATTTTTCAATTTTTTCCTACTAGGAAATCTTAAACTTAGGTGGTTTACCTACTGTGAAGAGCATATAGTAGGTTTATTCACCTCTTCATTCTCAGGTACTACATTCTACTGTTTAATTTAGATATAACTTCTGTTTATAATTAAGAACCATCCCTTACTTGGAAATCTTTCATTACAAATACCAATAGTTGGCTTTCGTTTTACATTCATTTTTCACAAGGAAGCGGAGTTCTATCACTTAATGAGAGAACTATCCCATTCACAGTGCCGGGTAGACAACCAAGCAGTGTTGAGATTCAAGTGCTGAGTAGTCAGCCAGGCTCACTCATCAACTCATTCCCCCATCTCAGTTTACTCACATTACTTCATGTTATACTGTCATTTTAGGTTTGTCCCCCCAAAACTGAAATAATGAATGCCAAACCTGTCAATATTTTCTAATAACATTAGGCACCATAGTGCATGGGAGAGGCACAGTACTGAAGAGTTCTGTGTTAGTGTTTTGTGTGATGTAAAATTTCTTTTGTACCACCATAAAAAATTAGTGCCCGCTAAAACAACAAGATCTCTCCAAGATATCCTAAAAGCATCTGATCCCGTTAGTAATACTAATGGATTTTGCTTTCAGTGGTCAACTTTAATGAATGTGTATGTTCTTTTAGAATTTATCAAGTTTCTATTCAAAGTCCTGCATAGAATTGGAAAAAAAAAAAAAAAAACATGTCTATCCAAGTGTGGGCACCTTTAATTCACTTCCCAAGAGGTGAGGAAACTTTTAGCCCAACCATTTGCCTTGAAGTATTCGCCCTAAGTCCCACCCCATGTCCTACAATTCCAATTCAGAAGGTAAGTCCCCTGTGCCATTTGTCAGCTGCCATGGCCACTTTTCAGTGAAAGTGGTTGTCAGATGGCCCATTGAAATGAAACATGGTGTTCCTTTTATTTGTCTTAGGTTCTTTATGTCTCAGGGTAGATCTGTATGCCCACTTTTCCCCTAGCAAGTCAAACGCTTTAAGTATGAGTGAGTCTAACTCTCAGCACTACACATGATATAAATTCTGGCTGGTGTTAATGCTTTGAAGATAATGTGTCATTAAAATGCAAAGTGAAAGAATGTTTGTTCACTTTGATTTGTGTGAATATTAATGTTTTTCTTTGCAGTGGATGGAGGGACTGGACTGGTTTGCAAAATCTCAGTACAAAGTTACCTTTCTAATAAAAACCTGATTTAGAAAATGTCAGCTAATTTTAGTCAGTAATGAGTCTAATTATTAGGAAGTGCAAAGGTTTACTTTTCACCTGTATAACAGCCTGTTAAGTAGACAGCATTTTCATAAATATTTTTTAATTAGCACAATGTAGGCAGCAGTTAACTCTGCAAACAGTTGGTTTGGAAATGGTTTTAGAGATTTCCTCATGATTAGAAATCATATAATTGATTCCAGATCAAATTATGAAATTGAAACTAAATTTGGAAGTATCTTGAAAATGCTTAAATATTACCGATACTGACTTATATCCTTAGACATAATTTGATTCAAACAGTGAAGGTCTAGTTCAGTGTTCCTCAAAACATGGTTCATTGACCTACTGAAATTGAAATTTGGAAATGGGATCCAGAATTTTTATTTAATAATTATCCCAGATAACTTCTTCTATATATATGAATATATATATTCATATATATATTCATATATATATTCATATATATATGAATATATATATTCATGCATTCATTGGTTGATTCTTGTATGTGCCCTGATGGGGAGTGGAACCCACAACCTTGTTGCATTGGGACAACACTGCAACCAACCGAGCTACCCAGCCAGGCATGTTATATGTTTTTAATTTATTGATTTGAGAGAGAAACATTGATTTGTTGGTGCACTTGTGTACACATTCATTGGTCGATACTTGTATGTGCCCTGACCAGGGATCAAAGGTGCAACCTTGGTGTATCAGGATGACGCTCTAACCAGCCAACCAGCCAGGGCCCAGATAACTTCTAAGGACACTTAGGATGCTGTACCTTTTTGTCCAAGAATGCTAAAGAGGCAGAATCTTCAGAGCTTCTATGAAGTACAATTCACTGTACATTTCATAGAGCCTCCTAGAAATACATGTGGAATTGACAGGAGTAGATTTCTGTATTTTCCTAATTCTAGGATTCTATTTTTAACATCTCTGAAATTGGGATATGTCTTATATATGTAGGGGTTGTGGTGTGATTGATTCTACTCATAGGCAAAGTTGGTTTGCATCCCTGGCAGCATGACTGGACAAAGGGCAAGCTCTTGATATTTCAGTCAACAAACTAAGAACCATTTGAGGAAGGAATAGTTTAGTTGTTTTCTATGAATTTTCCATAACACTTTCTTGTCAGATCAAGAATGCCAGCATAAGAACTTAGAGGACAGCTGTATGTTTTCTGTTGCTGTATAATAAGTCACCACAAATTTGGAGTGTAAAGCAGCATCCATTCATTATTTTGCGGTTCCGTAGGTCAGAAATCCATGCAGGGCTCAGTCGGGGTTCTCCCCTCAGGATTTCACAAAGCTGAAATCAAGGTGTCAGACAGGGCTCTGGATCCTCTCAAACTCATATGGTTGGCAAAATTCATTTCCCTGCAGGTATTGAACTTGTAGGCCTCCAAGGCCAACAGGAGAGATCACACTTCCGTTATCTCCCACCTCCAGACTCCCTCAAGAGCTCACCTGACTGGGTTAGGCCTAATCAGAATATTCTCCCTCTGATTAAGCCAACTGATTATAGATCTTAAATAAATTTGCAGTAATACCTTTGCCAGAAGGGAGTTAAGAGTGATATCCTGGAATATCCACAGGTCCAGCCCATGCTCAAGAAGCATGTGCAACAATTCTGTGATTCCCATGTGTGGTGGGAATCAGAATTCTGCCTACCACAGTTACTTTTAGCAGCTTGGAATAAAATCCTGAAGACAACAATGAAGCATTCTTAGGAAATGCCGCATTACCAGTATTATTGGTGGGCGAAGAATAATTCTGTATGGAAAATAACCTGCAAATCTATGAGCCAAAAAGAAGTCCACTGATACATGCTAAAATTTGTAGACTAAAGTCTAAGCAGAAAAGGATATTTGCTTAGTCTCTGCATTCATTTTCTGGAGTTGCCATTACAAGTCATCACAAACCGGATGGCATGAAACAGATGTATTTATGCCATCACAGTTCTCTCTCGGAGTTCTGGGGCTGGAAGTCTGAAATCAAAGTCTTGGGCAGGTGGGTTCTTTCTGGGGGTAGGATGGCTTCCATCCCCTCCTCAAGCTTCTGGCCATTCTTGGCACGCCTCCACTTCCAGATGCATGTCTAGCACCTGCCTCAGTCTTCACGTAGAGTTCTTCCTGTAGGTCTCTTGTCTGAATCTCCCTCTTCTGAGGACACTAGTCACTGGACTATGGTCTACCCTAATCCAGCATGACTTCACTCTAACTTGCTTACATCTGCAAAGACCCTATTCCAAATAAGGCCACGATTGTGAGGTTCTGAGTAGATGTGAATTTTGAGAAGACACTATTCAAGCAAGTATGGTCCCGAAGTACCTCCCAAATATTTAGAAATTATAAAGGGCCCTGGCTGGTGTGGCTCAGCGGATTGAGCGCGGGCCTGCGAACCATGTGGTCACGGTTCGATTCCCAGTCAGGGCACATGCCTGGGTTGCAGGCCAGTTCCCAGTGGGGGACACATGAGAGGCAACCACACACTGATCTCTCTCTCTCTTTCTCCTTTCCTTCCCCTCTCTCTGAAAATAAATAAATAAAATATTTTTTAAAAAAAAAGAAATTATAAAGGGAAAAGTTACAATTTTACTAAGAATCCTGGCAGACATCACTGTATCCAACTGATTAAGGTAATACGGCAAAGGTGCAGGGGGTTCTATGGAAAATAACATCACGTGGTGATATGATCATAAATTCCTAACTGGACATGTCATGGTGGGTAGTCACACCTCAGGCACAGAACTTCTTTAGCAAAAGGCCTATCTTTGCCTTAAGCAAGACGTGTCCATTATTTCTATGCACCTAGGTTAACACGCCATTGAAATGCCCCATTTCAGATCCTTCTAAAGCATACCGCACCCTCAAGAGAGCACATAATCTTAACTATCCAGTAATCAAATCTTCACCTTGCTTTCTCCCACCTTCATGTAATCCTTACGTTCCCTAATTTCAAGTACATAAAAGAACCTGCACAGTCATTCTCAAGATCTCTTGAGGTCTTGCTTCCAGGCACATCCTGTTTGACTTAAATTTTTATAAACTCTACAGGTTTGGATATTCTTATGTCAACGATAAATAATAGGACATTTCAACATCATAACCCCCTGAGGATGCAATGAGTAGGGTATATCGCCTCTATAACATTCTTTCAAATAATGCATGACCTCAATCTAATCAAAGGAAACATCAGACAAAACCAAATTGAGGGACGTTTACAAAACAACTCGCCAATGTTGTTCTGAAGCTTCCAGGTCATGAAAGACAAGGAAAGACAGGAATTGTAGGAGGGAGGAAGCTAAGGAGAGTAGGGTCCTGGATTTGACTGGGGGGGGGGGGGGAGAAATGGGTATTAGAAAACTAGTGAAACCTGAATATATGTTGTACATTAGTTAATATTGTGTTGAGGTTAATTTTCTAGTTTGAAAATTGTTCTATGGTTAGGTAAGATCAACATAGGAAACTGGGTCAACGGTTTATGGGAAGTTTCTGTACTATTTTTCCAATTCTTTTGTAAGTAACATCTCAAATATGCATTCCCTGATTAATGAGGCTGAGCTTAATTTCAAATGTTTATTTGTACACATTTTTTGAATGTAGACATTTAAGTCATTCCTTTTTTCCTTTTCTTGAACTTACGTACTAATTTAATATATATTCATGATACTAATACATTGTCAGTTTTATATTTTGCAAATATTTTTCTAGTCTGTTGGCTTATTTTGGGGTTGCCTCTTAGGGGAATTTTTAAAATATGGTCAAATTTATTAAAATATTAAGAAGATTTGGACTTTGCAAAGAAATTACAGGAATACCCTAGCCAACCTACTTTGCTTTTTTTTTTTTTTTTTTTTTTTTTTTTTTACTTTATGCACAAGAGAGTGACACATAAAAAGTCCAGGTCTAAATAAGTTTAAAAGAGCTCTTAATAAATGTAAAAATTCTAAGTAATAAAAATGTCAACATTTTTTAAAACTTTTGTCATTTATTTTCTTTTCTCTTTTATTGTTTATACTACTACAGTTGTCCCAATTCCCCCCAACATATTTTCTTCTTGTGGTGCATAAATAATATTTCATACAATCAGTACTGTTTCAGATTTAACTAAGTGTTAAGTATTTAATGAATATTTATTAAGCACTTATTATTATGTCAGTCACTGACCTAGATGTACAGGGTACAATGATGAACCAAACAGAACTGAAGCTTATACTAATGTTCAGAAGAAGGGCAATAATTAAATTCATAAATATGTTAATTTTGGTTGGCAATACATTTTTGAAGATGATGAAACAAGCTAATATTTTTTTAAATGATGGTACTAGTAGGTACTTTAGAGAAGATCTTTGTAAGGATGTAACAGTCAAGCTGAAATCCAACTGAGAAATACTGAATGTGATGATTTGGGGAAAAAGCATTCCAGGCAAAGGCAGCAGTAAATGCAACGTTCTGAAATAGAAACAAACTTGCAAAGTTTTAGGAACCAAAACAGCAGTGGAATTGAATCACAGGGAACCAGAGGTTACAAACCTAGTTAGGACTAGGTCATTTTGGATATTGCAGGCCATGGCAAGAGTTTGGATTTTATTCCAAGGGCAACTGGTTTTCACAAAGATCTAATTTAAGGTTACCTAAAAATATTCTTTTGCTTCACCCTTCCCTCTGGCTGATTTCCAGAGCCAAAATCTTACAGTGGTTACTTTTACTACAGCAGCTTATCATGTCCAACTAATTCTAACATTAAATGCAATGTTGACATTTTTATAGGGAAGCATTATATAAATCTTTTGCATTCTTATTTAAATTCAAGTATTTTATTACATAATCATTATTCTTATTTATTTAAATAATGTATTTTAACT